AAATGGGGCGTGAACTCCAAAAGTGGGCAGAACCTCCAAAATGGGGCGGGGTCTCCTCGTGCAAAGACTTTCACCATTGGCTCTGGCTCCAGCCAATTGTTATTGACTTACATTTCAAAATAAAACTTTATAAATGTATAGTGTTTCTAGTTCATCTAAAATAAAATATGCTATAGAAGTAAATATTCTCCGTGAGAGCAGAGCCCAAAGCTTGTGGCCAGTGGTGTTCGGACTGGAGTTTGAACCTTTGCTTAATGATATAAAAATAGTGACATGACATGTGGCCAAGTATGGTTATCCATACTCGGAATTAGTGCTCTGCATTTATCCCATCCTAAGTGCACACACACAGCAGTGAACACACACACACACACACACACACCGTGAACACACACCCGGAGCAGTGGGCAGCCATTTATGCTGCGGCGCCCGGGGAGCAGTTGGGGGTTCGGTGCCTTGCTCAAGAGCACCTCAGTTGTGGTATTGAAGGTGGGAGAGAGCGCTGTACATTCACTCCCTCCACCTACAATCCCTGCCGGTACGAGACTCGAACCCGCAACCTTTGGGTTACAAGTCCGACTCTCTAACCATTAGGCCAGGGGAAGGATTTCACTTTATCGCTTTTTTAATGTAGGAAATCAACACTTTAATTGACACAACCAATGTGGGGTGGAGTTTGCACTGAAGTGGATTGGGGGAAAAAATTGTGCATGCGTGTCATGTGGCTGTCTGTCAATGGGAGGAAACCACGCCCTATTTTGGAGCTCCCACCCCGTTTTGGAGTTCCCGCCTCCATTTGGAGATCTCCGGGCTGCAGTTATACCCTTCTCAGCTCCGCGGCAGACTTCTACCCGACAGTCAAAGCGGCATTACGTCACGAAAGTGCGAACTCAGAGGAAGACCGCGAGGGTTAAGGGTGCCATTTGGGACTGTGCCATATTTCGCTGTGCAGCAAAGTTCAAATTTGGTGAACGCTGACCTGCGAATTCGCATCACGTGAATGCGTGAGACCAGTAGAAGTTCAAAACCTCACAAAGTGACCTCTTTCGGCACAGAAATGGAGGAATCGCTCATTTTAACAGTGTCGCATCATACTGTTTTATACAACACAACTTTAAAAGATCACAAAAATCACATAAAAAGAGAAGCGGCGGCAAGGGAAACCGGATGGTACGTTTGAACAGTGAAACGTATAATTTTGTGATTGTTTTTATTACATGAGATTTGTATGTGTGCGTGTGTGTAACCTACTTGATTAACTATACTTGTGACTGATTGTAATCACTTAAATAGAAAAGAATTATGACTAGTGAGGATATTTTGGAGCGAGATGTCATATCCTGCTCCTGCCCCTTTTCGCAGCACTGTCCGAACGAATTTTGCATGCTCAAAATCTAGTGTGACCTCGTAAAATACGTACGAATTGGTCGTGAGATAGCGTTGACAGAACCAAAACATAAATAGTCTAGGCCTAGTCCTCTCTCGTCCTTCACTGTCGTCACTCCTCCTTTTATCCTTCCGGAGCTCCTCTGTGGGACGCGAGACCGGTGAGTGGCGCAGGTGTCGCTCATTATCATTTACTCCACCGGCCACACTCCGTTCCCACGACTCGCGGCCCCACCCCACTCCTCACAGATGTGCATTTTTCTAAACATACCAACCTTATGTTTTGTTTGGCTGGGTCTTCATGGACCTAAAGCAAATAAAATGTGTAACTTTTTAACTGTTTTCACCCTCATAGGAAACTATGGAGAAGTTGAAAGTGGCCAAGAGGTCTGAGGAGTAATTCAGAAGGAGGGATGAACATTTGCCCAGATTTCAGCTTTCAGTCAGTCATGAAAGATAAAGCTTAATTTGCTTAGTTTATTATAATAATTATTGACGTATTCAAAGGTGTGTTCTCTTCTGTTATAGTCTTTTTTTATTATTTGTATGGGACAATAAGAGTATGTATGATCTGTACCTGTACTGTAAATTACTGCAGACCTTTTTGTAATAGTATTTTTATACATTCAACAGTGTTGAATTTACATCACCTTTCAACACCTGTCAACAGGAATTCCTATTATTTTTGTGATGTCTTTGCATTAATAAATTCAGAATGAATTCAGAACAAAGCTGGTCAGGTTGATCTGTTTGTTCATTTCAGCTGGCCGGGCTAGGAGATATTTGAAACTGGCTAAGACCAGCTTAAACCAGCTTAGGTTGGTAAACAGGGTTTTTTGTTTTCAGCAAGGAAATACTACAGCTATTTATAAATCATCCCTGTTGTGTATTAACCTTAACTGGCAATCAATTAATAAAACTATAAAGCAATAATCTTAAAAGACAAGAAAACCTGGGCCAAGTTTAATCGAGTAATCAGGCATCACAGCTGCCGAATGAGCATGTCTGATTGTAACGTCTACAGTATATATTGCCATTATCGTGTAATCAAAATCATTATTACTAAGACTTAAGTGATTGCTTAATTGCTAAGTACTTAACTGCATTTACGGTAAGATGTGTCCAAAAACCCACTCAATTTTTATTTTATTATTATTATTATGTAGTGTAAAATATGACTACATGTAGGCTAGTTTTATAACCTCACAAACTGTTATGACTTAAGTATAAGCCCTGGGTCATGCCGAAAAAAAAAAGAATATAGTACAGCAAATGCCTTTTTGTTGTATCTATCTATCAGTGTACAGTAGATTTATGCTTTATCACTATCAATCACTAATCTTTCTTAAAACAAGCAGACCTTGTTGTGGATTTTTCTTGGGTGCGGCCAATGAAGTGGAGGAGCAGAGTTCCAGATGTCAAAATAAGACTTTATTTAACAAAGAAATAAAGCCGGGAAGACAGTCACATCATTCCAAAGTCTTTGTTTGTCAACTCATATTATATACCCCTTGTTCTCTCCAAATGTGGTCATTTTCTGTTTTTTCTTTGTTCCGGTTACTTTTTATTGGTGATAGATACCTGATTTGCCACAATTGTTTCCAACTCTTTTGGCCTTGTTTTCTAATTGGTTGGTAGTGTGGTCATACTAGATGTGTGTCAAATTTATCTACTTGCTTTTGTTTTGCCACCTTCCATTGGTTGGTAATGTGGTCATACGAGATGTGTGCGTCACATCCATCCACCTGTTCCTGATAATATTAGATTATTTCATGTTTACGTCTGCTGTCTACTGAAAGGTCCATTGTCTAATGGAAGAAACGACCATTATACGTGTTCATAATAATGTTACATTATTTCAAGCTCACTGGTGTACTGTCTAATGAAAAGACTATTATTCGTTCTATGACATCCAGGGTTAACATAATTCAGCACATTAATCCATATATTGATTACTGCCATTTTCACATAATACTTCAATAAAATTACACAATAACCTGCTGTGCTGAATGGCAACAGGTTTTCATATAAACCACTAAAACCATACGTGCAGGGTCGCATAAGACACTAATGAGACGCAACAAACTTGCATCACGTTTGGCCCCTGGATGACCAACCACTGACTGCAGGAGACGTGAGCCGCGTGACACTTGAGCGCACTCCACCTGTTCAACACAGTCCCAACAGTGAAGCATGGTGGTGGCAGCATCATGCT